AGAGGGGGGGCTTAAATGTCCTCAGAAGTTGTCCCTCTCTGCACCTCCATGTAGTAGTAGTGTAGTGACCTAATGTCACAGCAGCCACAGCTCCTCCCTTATGTATGTATACATTTCACAAGGTCATTGTTTATGATATTTACACACAGTCTGCTTCATTTCCTGAGTTACACAAACCTTCAAAGGATCTAAGACTGATAAAGAGGCAGAAATACACATCTCTCTGTGTTCATGATGATCAATTAAAACCTAAAAAGGAATAAAATACTATAGGCTACAATTTAAAAATAAAGTCAAATGCCAACCTTTCTCAGTAGGTTTGTGGCACTCAAGTTGACCTTAGTCAGCAGTGACGGGTGAGTGTAGTGAATCCTCTCTGAAGCAAAGCTGCGTTGGCTGATGGGACGGCTCCCCTCCCTGGCAGATGAGATCCCATTATCAAGCAGAGGAGAACTCCACCTCCAGGATTTCACAGCTCCTCTGTTTATCACATGGCTCTGTCAAGTTGGGCACCATTAACCGATAATGAAAGGAGACAACCGGTGCAGTTACAAGCAAAGCACTCCACATTCTACAGGCCTAAGCATGTATCTGTGAAGCTGACTGTGTCTATTCAATTCTCTTCAGCATTCAACAATACCTTTTCCCTGAGCACCCTCACTCACTCACTCACACAGCAGCTACAGAGCCTTCAACCCTGACAGAACAAAACTGGTTACTTGGTGCTTCTCTCTAAATTCAGAGGAAATGAAATCTAACAGCCACGTGCTGCTTGAAAGAAAAATGACACTTTTTGGTGACACTCCTTTTCCTAAACATTATTAAAAAGGAGCACAGTTTGTTGTTAAAAGCTAACAAAACCAGTGGAGGCGTATAAGGAAAAAAATGGCACAATAAAACAACAGAAACTATCAGTTTGAAATATGTTTTCTTCATCCACATGAAACATAATTAGTACAAGTGTTACTAAACAAAAAGACTGCGAGACTGCCACTGAATCAAAGGCCAACATGCCCCCGCCTCCCCTCTCCCTAGTCTGACTACTCCATTTATAGCTTATAGGATTCTGTAGCCACTTAGTCTCATTAAAAATGAATACTTAACAAAAGCTGTGGCTGACACACACTGTTTGCCTTAGCCCGATTTCTTCACGCTGAGGAAAAACAAGCCACTCAGAGGCAGCAGAGAGAGAGAGAGAGAGAGAAAAAAAGAAAAAGTGCTCAGCAATACAAATAAGTCAGCCAGTAGCTGAAACAACAGAAAAAGTGACATGGATGACTGAGCCAAGCCAACGAGAGACTTTGCAAGCCTCAGAGGCCCTGGCCTCTTAAGCACTCATATCTAGTAACTTCATTTAATACTTTCACCAGGGATGAGCAGACAAGTTGAAGGAAAAAGGGACTGAGAGAAGAAAACAGACTTGTAAAACAAGAGGAGGATTCAGCCGTGGCGGTGACGGGGGCGGACTTCAGAAGCTCGACTTTAACACATGACTAAATCTCTGCAGTATAGCAAGCTAACTTCCCTGCTGCCAAAACATAATACAGGAAAGAAAACTGAACCCTGAGACCATGTTGTCATTCTCAGGCAGGTGTTATCTGCAGGAGCTGTTCTTCTTCTCATATTAGAAACTTGAACAGTGCCTTTCCAGATGGGGCTTTAAAGCAGTGACTCTCTCTTCACCACACGTACTATATACATAAAGAACAAAGACTCTGTGTGACTGTGACTGCTACTTGAAGTCACTGTTCCTCATACTGACAGCAAGTGCTGATAGCCGCCCCCGCCCCACCCCCCACTGGCAAGCAAGCAAGCAAAAAAAAAAAGACTGACTTCAAATCACATATTGCCCCTTTTAGCCTTCACAGATCCTTAAGAAAGAAACTTTACAAGTTGGGGGAATTCAAAGGGAAAACAGGGTCTTACACGACTAATTAAACAGAGAGACTGCCTGAAGGGGGTTTAGAGAAGAGGCAGCAATAAAACAATCTTCCCCGATCTCCTGACAAAGTAACTCAAGGAAATTACTCAATGAAAAATGTTAACTACACACTTGTGGATATGAAGTTATGGGGTTTTCAGTGACACTACTTAAACTAAAAAGAATGCTGCTCAACAGAGTAAAACTTCATTAAGTGAAAAAGAAAAATGACCTTTACACAACAGAGGCCTCTGTACAAGCAAACAGCCCTATCAAGGTGACAAAAGACTAACTGAAAACCAAGATGTACTTTGGAGACAATCCAAACAGGCAGCTCATAATTAAGCTGCTACATACCAAGTCTTTATTTGCAATCATTAACACGGTTATAAAAATGTGAGGAGAGCCGAGGAATGGTATTTTACTTGAGGCAATCAATGCAAGGTCTAGCCTCACATAGCGATCTTGTTTACATAGCTATTCAGACACATTTGGCAACATCACAACAGTTTAAATACCAAGATACTTGCAGGCTACATATGTCTAATCTCTTTGCCAAGCTACACATTCTACTCAAGAGAGTGAAACTTGCTTGCAGCAGCCATTTGGTACAGCCATTGTGCATTAAAAACAATGAATGCAAGTAAACCTTATTCCAGATGGAGGCTATAGCAGGCACCTGGCAAACAAACTGAACAAATGTTAGTGAGAGGAAGTAACTGCATCTTCTCTTTTTAAAGTACAGTAAAACCTAATCTAAGTCTGCAAAGGGCTTTTTAAAAGAAGCACACTCTACATCTGAATTCAGACGCACACACACACACACACACACACACACACACACACACACACACACACACACACACACACACACACACACACACACACACACACACACACACGGGTCTGAAGCTTGCTGGAATGAAAAAGCCAAGGTAAAACAAAATGTTGGTGAAATAATAAAACAGAAAAAAACCAACTAATTCTGTATGGCCAAAAACTAACAGATACAGAAAGCCAAAACAGACACAAACAAATACACGTGTAATACCTTAGATGCTATTTTACAAAGCCGCTGATTTTCCACAGACATTCTTCAAGCTCTCACATCAACTGTCTGTGTCTGATTCTTCAGGCAGAACAGGGCCTCATTCATCTGAATAAAAGAACGTTTCAGCCAGCCGCGCTGAGAACAGGCTCTGAGGAATGAGACTGTATTTCCAAGAGGGCCACAGAAAGACAGAGTGCAGGCTGTGGTGCGAAAGAGGAAGTTTACATTTCAGGCAAATCCTTTTGTGAACAAAGACACAGCAAGATAAACAAACACTACATGTGTTTGATGCTTAGAACTGGATCCAGTTAGGAAAAATCCTATTCAAGCAGAGTGATCAGCAGTCTGCAAGGCAAACGGGGGGATCCACGGTCATGAAAGCAAAAGAGAGAGAGAGAGAGTGGCAGTTGGGGTGTGTGATTCCTGTGTGGTTACTGTCTCCAAGCTAATCTGCTCAGATAACCAGTGACTGCTCCATTTCACAGAGCACATGGCTGTCTCACCTCCATACACTGCCACCCTATGGACAGAGTGTGGAGGTGCAGCTTCATGTTGTTGCTGTGCTAAAAGAAGAGGTGGGGGTGGAGGAGCAGATGCTCATAATGCAAATAAAACAAAAAAACTCCACACAGGATACTACATGACATTTGAATTAAGATGCTCAATATGACTAAGTGCTCCACAAAGCCGTAGCTTTTTTCTCTCCTGTGCCACTGCTTATTCCGATATCAGTTATTGTCCTCTGGTCACTTGGCTGCTCTCAGTGTGTAAGATAATGATTAAGCCATCTAATCTCCATTATACATCAGAGGAGGATGTTTTTCAAGTCAATCAACCTAAATTTTCCCATTTTGGGATTTTTTTTCCAACCTCACTTCCCCTCCCCCTCCCCCTCCCCCTCAATTCTGCATGAATAATAGCAGAGAGAAGTCATCTCAAAGGCAAATGTACAGTGGGGATGTCAGCACTAACTACGGAGAAAAAAAGGATGTGTTATTCAAAGAGACAGCACACAGGCCGGGTGTTGAGACTGTGTTATGAGATTAGACTGTTATTGTGGAGCGGTCGGGTAAAAATCAGTCTGTGTGCAGTCGGCGCAGACAGTTTGGAGATCAGTGCTGAGGTCAAGAGGAGCCACTTAGCTGTTCTTTGGCCTTCCAACCCCTGCAGCTTTCAGAATCACCCGTTCCACTGTGGGAGTAGATAAAAAGCTTGGCACCATTTTTGCAGCTAGAGACAGCTATAATCACTAATGCATGCAGGCTTTATTTGTGGATTTTTAAAGGTACAAAACAGAAATTGCAGGGATTAAGTAAGAAGGTGGGAAGATTGCTCATTATCCAGATATACTGTGTAGAAATTAGGTTAGCCTCAACAGTGTAGATCCCCAAAGGCACATAATCTTTTTTTTTTATAAACAAAGCAACAAACAATCCAGACTAAAACCATTTCTCTCAATTAAAACAAAACCATGAAGGTCATTTTTGACCCCCAACTATTAATATAATTTGAGAGTTAATACAATTTACACCACATGTGGCACTGCCTTTCCCCCCCCCCACTGCACTTTATTACAACAGCAAACGGAGAAGAAGAATAGTGGTCCCCTTGGATGTCTCTGGTGAGGAGATAATGCACTGAAATCTGAGAATAATATGTTAAGTGTCATTTATGATTATATGACCAGCCTGCTACTCTTTGTCTTTATTGTACAGACTTATGAATCAACTGAGCACGGAACTGCGTCTCATTATGCTGCTGTGGACACAAAAGTGGTGAACTGGAAATTCTGCAAATTGTTTGTTTAGATTCACATATTCTGCATAATGCATGAAGCATCTAACATACAACAGAGATGTGTGTGTGAGTGCACAGAAACTGAGTGTGCATCCAAGAGATAGTGACTGAGTGGGAGAGACAGGAGGAATGAGAGATTGAGTAACCCTGTTGATATTTGATATTGAGCAGAGTGGAGACCCGACGTGCAGCATGCTAACTGTCTTTAAAATAGGAACAGTGGGGAATAGACAGAGGAGGCTCAGTGAAGCGTTAGTGTTAGTATGTCAGCTCATGGATTAGTGATGGATGGAGGGAAAGATGGACCGACCGAGCAAGGAAAGGAAAGAAGTGGAAGGGAGTGAGTGCAAGCCATAGCTCACTCTCTGTTCCTGCACACATCAGCAGCGGGAGGCCAGGGATGTGCGGAGGCCACAGCAAAGCAATTACCAAAGTCATTAAGTAACCTGCAAGTCGGTTTTGAACCGCAACACCTTCCATATCATGACCAGATTCTCCGCCATCACTGTGGACTTTCAGATATGCACTTCTCTCACTCTCACAAATCCTTTCTAGAAATGGCTGGAGAAGGGTAACAACATTTTCACATGTGTTACTTGGAAATGAAAGTGCAATGTAGAAACACAAGTGAAACCATAACAGACTGGTAGCTTGGCGTCTTGAAGGCGTGACTTTGCCAAAAGACAGCACTGGACTGGTTGCAAGGGAAGGAAAAGGGTCTGCTTATA